AAATAAAACACGCACCCCGCCCAAACAGCAAAATGAGACCGTTATAACTTGTCATTCCTGACCGTGTTTACCTTTATTCTAGGCACCCTCTTGGCTCTTCCTGCGTGGCAGCCTGCAGCCCGTCTGCGTGGCTCGACGCTATGCGCAAGTGTCGGCTTGGCGGCATCTCGCAGATTGGGGCTTGCACTTGCACACGCGGACAGAGCTTGCTTGGCGCATCATGGTGGATCTTCATCCGCATAGGAATACGAGCCGCAATCCTTGAGATGCCGCCAGGCCGCCGCGTGTGCGTAGCGTCGTAGCATGCAGATGTGCCGCAAGCTGCCGCACAGGAAAAGCTCAGCATAGAGGTAGGAGTGACAGCCGGAAGGGACTGCAGCAACTGGTGTGGACAGACGTTGGAAGCATAATGACAATTGCACAGCAAACTCTGGGTTGTTGAGAAATGATGGGCCTCACATATCCTGCGTGGCCCCAGTCCTGCAGCAGGGTCTGCAGGCCGTTGCGTGGCACATGGACGGGCTCGCTCACGCCCGCACATGGCACATGGCTCCAGCCAGCAACGGTGGCTAGCGAAGCCGGGGTGGGCCCATATGTTGTTTACCTAAGGGGGTGCTGGGCGAGAGGGGGGCAGAAGCTTGGCGCGTGTAAGAAACAGGTCGGCAGTGAGGGGCAAATGCAGCTCGGCGTTCGCGAGAAAAACGCGCCGAATTTTTTGCAGGCTCTTTCAGCGCAAGAAACAAGCCCTGCTCTACAAACTCGTATCCTAAACGTGGAGTTTGCACATGAAAGCCTCAAGTCCCGATCAACGCGTTCTTTTTGTGCTAGAGTGCTTGCATTCCCAGTCTTTATGGCCCGAGGGGAGAAGAGAGGAGGGGTTCTCAACGCAGCCGAATGAAGCCGACACCGGCGAGAAGGCTGAAGTTAGGGCCATGCGCGCTCGCCGGAGCGCAATCTGTTGGGATCCGGTGCTTTTACGCCGTTGCCGCCTGCCACACTGCTTTGCTTTGTCGCCATGCCAAGATGCTCCGCAACATGAAGAAGACTCCCCAAATCTCCCAAAGATCGCATTCTTTGATGCCTGAGTTGTCTGTGGCGCACGATAGCTGACGTGCGTTCAGCACTAGAATCATTGGAACTCATCTTACTGCCGAAATCACAGGCATAGATACATGTTTTCCTTGCGGGCAGCAGGGGGATCTGCGGGATGAAGAGCTTACGTTCGAGACATAGGCTCAGCTAGTTCTTGCTGCTGCACACCAAATTTCAGTTGGATTCCAGCAATGTCGTTGCGCAGCATCAAATCTTTGAACCAGCAAATCGCCGTGCCATCTTGAAGATTTGGTGTGGCTATGGCTTGCACTTTGTCGCAAGACTTGTGGTGAAACTTTACCACCTATCCGTCAGCTAGTGGCAAGGCTGTGGACATGTCCGAGAAATCATTGATTTATCGTTCTGGCATGTTCTGGCTTTATAACGCATGGATCGTGCCCCTGAAGAGTTGCCCCAAGATCGTCCCGCTAGAACCCTTTTAAAAACACCCGTATAGATAATGCTTCAAGCCAGGGTACAACTTGAGGGGCACTTTCGCGAAACCCTTGCAAAATGTCCTAACAGCCTACCCTCCTAAGAACCTACACCCCCAAAGCTCAGCTTGTTGGAGGTGGGACATCTTCGACATCGGTCCATCGAAGGCGCGTTCCGGCCTTGAGATTGCTTACAACTGCATACATCTACTACAGAACCCCCGTTTTGTCACCTCACCCCGTCACTCAAAGAAGCTATCTCAGCAAGCCCTGAGATCTGTAAGCCAGCTTTTGTCGAGAACTACGTTGGCTCCAGAAAGCAGTGCTTGAGCTCCTAATCTGGGATGTCTCAAGACACCCTCACACTATTTGGGAGCAGCTGCCAGAACTGCATGTCACCCAGTAAGTGGAGCACCTTCCATAGGCCTTCTCGCGCGACACCCTTAACGTCGATGTATCTGCCTGAGTTCAGCGGCCGGTGGAAGCTTCCTAAAGCTTTTGCGGGCTTGCTTGAAGCGTACACCTATTGAGGGTGGAAAAGACGCTTGACGAATGAAATCTGCAGCTCTCAGTCTGACAAAATCTCAAGTATGGGGCTGCCAGCAGCAGAGGAAGCAAAACAAAGGACTCAACGTGACTCAACAATGAGCAATCGGCAGGCAACCAGCCAAGCACATCACTAGAGTCAAAGCACCGAAGAGAGCAACGACACTTTGCGCAATCAGAAAACGTTTATCTTCTCGCCAAACTTTGAAACACACAAAACCAACCCTCCTGCACCAATTCAAATATAGATTTCAGGCATGCCTTCTGGCATGCCAAGCTGGTTTTGAGTCAGCTGAGAAACGCCAGGAAGAAGGGACTTTCGGGTGCAAGGCAAGCCCTGAAGGGATAGCTGGACCTGAAGAAGCCCTGAACGCAGAAGCGCTCAAAGCTTTTGTCCAAAATGACTTGATAGAAACCCAAAAATACAGGGCTTGTTCTCCAAGGAAGCCAGCCACATGACACAAGCACCTTGCCAGCCGTGTTGCCCTTTCCATGCTGTTTTCCTTCCAGCCACTGGCCAATGTAGCATCTACCTCATTAGACAGAGCAGGTGTCCAAATCACTCCTGCAATCCTTGCATCACGACAGCTTCCATGAACATCTCCCCCTGCGCTACCGGTCTGCGCTACGCCGCCTCGACCACGTACAGAATTTGCGGGCCCACTCAGTAAATGTCACTGTAACCCCACAGCATCCATTTGATGATCCATTTTCTTTTCCATTTGATTCTCTATCATTGGGGTAATACCTCTAAACCTCTTGGATAATCCCTATATAGCCCCAAATAATACAACAGCTTCCATTGTGTTTGCCATTATCTCCCTATACAATCCCCATATACCCGTTTAAAGGGGCCCAAGATTTCCATGTGTTCTTGTCCACGATTCACTATTACAACCCGATTTCATTTCCATTCCCACTATCTCTACCTTTTGTATATAAGCCTACATAACCTAACCCTACATAAGCCGATTTCATGCGTATACGATCCCTAGATAACCCCTACATAAACCTCCACCCTCGGGGCGGCGCCATCTGGCCAGCAAAACTTCCCTTCGCCGGACTTGCGATCGCCGAGGTAATCTCCCTCGTACCATCTGCCTCGTCTGACGAGTTCTCGCGGAGGTATGTAGGGATTATACAGGGCACCGCAGGTGTGTGCTCTCTGGTGACAGTGGATCTGAGGGGTACGCCATCTGGCCACCTCATGGTGCCATGGCCAGTCCTGGGCTTGACAAGCTCAAATGGGCTGGTGTCTTGGTTGGCTGGTTCTGTTCAAGCTTCTCGGGTACTGGCTTGTTCAGTTGCTACACAAAAGAAGCACATAACGGGGAGTTATTTAAGCTTCACGAGCGCAACCCAACCTGGAGCACCTGACATGACCCTCGACTGCCCGAGCTTCTGCGCATGCTGAGCTTCCGGCATCTGGCTGTCTTGCCAGCTACCAACATACACGCCTGCAAATTGACTGATTCAGCCCAATGTCTCGTTGTTTTAAATGTTGCTGGGTCAGCTCTGCAGTTCATCTGAGGCTTCTGCGTCCATCGGAGAATGTGTATGTCCCCTGCAGCAAAGCGACGTGAAGCCAAGGCATCATAGCAATTGGCTGAATTATTCCGCTGTCATACATACCATGGTGGCTCTGTGCGCTCGCCGTCTAAACTTTGGCACAGAAAAAGGAAGCTGCGTCTGTAAGAGCTGTTGCCCGCTCAAATACAGCGGATCTTTGCTCCCTACCTATTCTCGAACCAGAAATCCTCCCAACCCTCCAACGAACCAGCCTCACCATGCATGCTGTCATTGTAGAACTGGCCAGAATACGACCTAGATGGGGAGTCAATCGGGGAGTACGTACATTTGGGGCGAGGCTACGCAGCACTGTGTTCTAAGCACCGTGTCGAGTCGCTTAACATCTCCAATGTCCCCGGCCGTCTGAAGCAAACCCTTTCGAAGATGGCTTGATTATGGCGTCTGCAAGGCAATGAAAACTTCCTTCCCAAGCTCACTCACAATCTTTAACAAGGCCACAACATTCGCCAAAGCGTTGGCTTATTATAGATGCATATGGCATGCTTCATAGAACCCAAGCCCATCACGAGTTGTCGGAGGATGTGAACAGCCCATAGCCGTGCTTCTTGCCGTCCCTGCGGATCAATGGCCGAGTTTGGAAAAATGCTCATGACATGGAAGGTATGGTGATTCTTGAGGAACTTGGTAGGTCTGAGACCTCCCGTTGGCCAATATTGCCGCCTAAACGTCCTGAACCCCAGGAGCTGCTTCATCCCCATCATTCTCTAAGGCCCAGCAGTAGAACCCCGGCAACAGCTACAGGGGGATGTGGCAGCTAACTTCATTTCATGGCTATTATCCTTGTTCAGGTTTACACTTGACACCACCACTATCACTCCCTCGATCCCAGTCCTGTACTCGCCCTTGAAAGTGGATCCGTCTGCCCAGGTCTCAAGACCCTGGCCAGACTTCATGTCCTGGTGCATGGACGAGGAATGATTCACAGAGGAAGCCAAGAACCGCAGAGAGTCATCTTGTTCATGATTCTTGCATACACAAATTACACCACCTTGCAACCACAACCGCGATTATTGCAGAAGCCCATGAGCAAGATCCCCATCTGCTCCTCCACCCAGTCACCGATGTAAGAGGACCCTGGCCAAGGCCAGTGTATGAGAGGAAGAATCTCTTTGCCACAGCTCACGAGGACCCCTCCCAGCAAGTTGCGCAAGTTGCGTTGTGCGGGACTTGGTTATCGAGGTGCTACACTTCCACTGATCAACTTATCACCAAACGGCTGCTGCCGAACAGGACAATCCATGCCAAGCAGGTTGCGGCGACCATCGGAGTGGAGAAACTTCCCAGATCCGTGGGCCTTCAAATCAGGGCCAAAGGGCTTCTGGTGATTCTCAGAGAATTGAATGTTGTCATGTCAGAACAGGCTTACACCGCCTTGAAGCTTGATCAAAGCCCCCATGCCTTGCAGTTTGTTCAGTCATCATCTCCGAGCAACACCGATGTTTGCCATGATGTCATGCCAACACCAAATGGTTAGTTGCGAAGAGACTTTACGACCTCTGTGTTGTTCCATCCTTAGCTCTGGCCTTGTCATCCAACCACTGGCCCTCGTACACGTCCCCGTTGGCGTGGACAAATCTCCCACGACCTCAGGTGAACCACAACACGCAAGCAACCAGCAAGAACACGCGCTGAGGCTGAACCGAGGACCGAGGATAAAGGATTGCCGCTTCTGCAAATGCTATGCAAATGCGAGGTTGTGACATTGCCCAGTGATGCGCAGTTCAAACGTACTTTGAGGGTTAGCAGCTAGCAATTACACGCAGGGCTTCACACAGAGTGATCCCCTCATGGTATAGTGCATGATGATGCCAGTCTACAAGTGGCAACCTTGGGAGTGAGCCTTGGCATTTTGAAGCCCTTAGGTAAAGTTGCTTGAAATTATGTGGTTTGCAGGAAGCCGTTTGTGCAAGTATTCCCTCCTAGGGGGTTGGAGGACGGAGGATGGGTGGCTAATAGGAATAATCCCTTTTCCAGGTTTTCAAATAGACGGGGGGGGACCCCCCCGTCCGAATAGAGGCTGCATACACATGCGATATTCCAATATATAGAACAAGCAGCTGTTTTTTTGTGGTAGAGTACGAAATGCCCCTTGAACGCAGGCCCCAGGTCATGTCGTGCCCCTGCCGCGGAGCGCTTGCAACACGGTCCCCGTGGTTTTCTTCCTATTTTGGCTTTGCGGCTGCTAATCTCCGTGATTACAGAAGGATTCTCTCAGTCTACAAAAGCCCAGAGAGGTCCAAAGTGTGCATCCAGTGACAGAGTACGAAACGCCCCCTCAACCCAGGCCCTACGTCATGTCCCGCGCTGCGAAGCGCTGCTTATGCACGGCGGACCCCCTGCTTTTCTTCCTATTTTGGCTGCGCGGCTGACATTCTCTGTGTACACCAGGATGCCCTAGGTCTGTAGGGGTACGACATGTCAGGCGCGTGGGGCGCTGCTGATGCACCACGCAACTTTCCATGTTGCCCAGAACCACAAATCCCTCACAGTAAATAAGCAAGAGCGCTGAAATACGAAGAAACTAAACATGATCATGATAGATTTCTTCCTAAAACTGACCCACCCTCGTCCGTTTGGACCAATAGGAAATAGGAAGAAAAGGACGTACCCTCCCCCCGCGGCGGAAACAACAAATAGGGGGGGAATGTGCAAGTTTACCACCTCGAGGCAGCAACGCAGTAGCGGAGGTAACCATGAGCTACTGCACTGAGCCCTTTTGGGACAGAAAAGGACGAGAGTGCAAGCATGCTTGGACCACTTGAGGCAGAGTGCCACAGGCTCTGTCGTTCACGAACTGGCCCTCGTACCTGCCGCCGTCAGGCCTGTCAGGGTGCACACGCACCGACTGCCCTCGCCATCGATAGCCCAAACATGCCCAAACTAAAGCATCTCCTGGTCCAGCCCTGCAACTGGAGGCATGCTCCGGCCTCAACAAGGTTCCTTCTCCATGACGACGAACGCCGTACCATTGCCCGGTGTAGATCTTGGCGTCGTGGTGACACTCTATGCTGTCGCTAGTGCACGGATCTATGTGCAATGGGACTAGTCATGCTAGAGGCTCTTGGCCAGGTGTGGGTGCTGGCATTCCCACACACTTGAGTACCCACTGGTGCCACCTTGCTATGCGCGTGCACGATGACCATACACAGAATTGGGCCCCTGCGATTCCATTCTCCAGCTCCACCGGGCCCCTTTCGTGTGGTCCCTGACCAAAGACTTCAAGTTGAGTGTCACCAGGTTGCGGAAAGCAGAGCAGAGAGGGAAGGACAACCCTGGAGGAGGCTTCCACAACTTCGATATGGATAGTGCGACAAGTTTGGCCTGGGTGAATCCAGTTGAAAAGCATGAGAATTGACCTTCGAAATTGCGGTGCCTCGGGAGTCTTTGTCGCGTCGACCACTTGGGAAGCGTCCGGCCTTGCGCCAGTCACCAGCCCCTCTTGCAGCGTCGCTATGACAGTCACTCATGACATGAACTCATGGGCCTGGCATTTGCGCAGCAGATTCCAGTCCAGGATGAGAAGCGTAAGGCTCCCGCAAGTGAAAGAAGAGCGAAGAGCTCTGAACAGACTTAAGGCCAGGCTCCTGCAGCTCTTAGGGCCAAGGGTGAGGATTTCGGCTCAACATGCAGTGTAGAAAAACCGGAGGGCAGGCTGATTAAGCTAAAGCTGTTGACCTGAAACCAAAGCACAGAGGGATGAGTTTGGAAGAAGCAACACAAAGAAGGGCCCAGGGGAGCACTTCACAAATGACTTGCTTGCACAAGCACCACTTCATCTCACCTGAAGTCGGCCCTTGTTTATGCTTGCACTTCATGCTGAATGCTGTTTCTTTTCAAGCCTGAAGCTTAATGGTAGCTTTGATTGAAGCTTGCATCAGAAGGCTGCACAAGCGGAAAGGCCCTGTCTCAGCGCTCACGCTAACTAATATCTTTGAGTACTGACTGGTCCTCTCATCGGGATCGGGTATGTAATGGGAGTGGGCCCGGGCCTTGTGAAAAGCTAATTATTAATTTTGGCATGCCCACATTTGTCTCCACAGCTCAGCGACCCTGCCTCTTTCTTATCATTGCTGCAGCAAGGGCTACTCTGACACTGAATCGCATCCATGGCTACGGTCCATGCATCCACAGCATTTCTTCCTTTTTGAGGTTGGTTGTGTTGTGGAGCGCAGGCTGCGGGTTCAACAGGTTGAGGTGGCTACTGTCGTGTGCTTTGTGTTGGCAGCAGCTCTAAAGGCTGGACTCGGTAGCTGGATGTCTCAGTAAAGGCTTTGCTAGGAGTACTGGATGCATTTGGAAGGTCGTTCAGTCCCAGAATGCTGGCTTCAACAGGCCTTAGTGTCTTGTTCCTTTCAAAAGTTTGACCGACTCTTGAACCAGAAGTCAGCGCGCATGATGTCAATATGAGACAAATATAAGTCAACACAGTCAGCTGGGATAGAGAGCATCTACCAACACGGGGTCAACCAAAATCTTTTCACCCGACAGTCCGTATGAAGTTATGCATTTAAAAGCCAGCTCTGCTAAGCCGGTGTTCTGCATATCTCCTGCATGCCAGCGTATGTCTTGTCAAGGCATGAGGCTGTTGCTGTGGTTATGTAATGATTGCAGGCAGGCCCGTACTAGCAGTGGCAGGGGTCATCGGTGTTTTTCCGCAACGCTGTAGAATGTCGCAGCATACGAGCTCCTGGTGATGTCCTCCAACTTCGTTGCTTGCTTGGGTGTTTGGGGAGAGTTGGCTTGATTCCGCGAAACATTTGAGGGATTGGTAAACTACGGTGCCTTCACTGTAAACCTCCCCTCTGCCCACGTCCTGAAGCTCAGCTTGCCCAGCGGCATAAAGCTCTGCAGACGCCTCACTTCTGTTGTTTCGATTCTCTGTTTCAACTGAACTGCTCTCAAGAGGTCAGCGAGATTGCGGGGCCTCAATCATGCTAGCAAAGCTGTTATGGAAGCCTCGAACTGACCATCTCGTTGCAAAGCGAGGTATCAAGGACTCTTCTCAAGAAGCAGCATGGGATCATATGGGATCAACATCGCCGTTGCAAAAGGGAGCTGACGTGGCTGGGTTTGGCGTCCTGTCGTCTTGGACCATCGGAGGCTTCAAGCCCAGGAGCTTCATTTTTTGTTGCAGGCATTTGGTCCTGTGAACTGTGCATATGCCAAAGTTCAAGTAACGGTGGAGATTGCTGTGTTCGAAAACTAAGCCTTGCAAGCGTATGCTCCAAAGGCCTGTCAACTAAACAGCAACGGACCTGTTTGTTTGGCCCGCATCTTTCTACATCACTAAAACCCCCGTAGCCCACCTTCGCCCTGCATATTGAGATAGTGGTCTCGCTGGGGTATGCTGCGGCGCCTGGTCCTCCTCCTCCCAGGTTGTCCTCCATGACCTGGCTTGCTCCTCGAAGCGGTCAACCGCCTTCCTGCAGCAATGCAGAGGGCTTTGCCCCCAGAACGCTTGCGAAATCTGACTCCAAAAAGCCAAATCCCATGGATCCAAATGCTACAAAGGGAGCCAACCCAAAGGGCTTGAAATGCAGCCTTGCTTCTTGCGCTCCCGTGCCAGGGTGCCCCGCACCCGGGCTTCAACGGGATCGCTGGGGCGAATCTGCCCAGTCCGTTCGTTGAGCCAGACTGCCTTGCCGTCACTGACAGTCGCAACCCATTGGTCTCGATTCTTCGAACGATCCATGGCATGCGAGCGGGCGAAGGTCTCCAAGCCTTCTGCATACTTCTGCCATTGAGCCTCAAGGCGCCGCAAGTTACGGGCTTCAAAGTCCACTCGTCTTTCGTTCTCCTCAGCCTCAAAACACCACGAGCTGAGCATGGAGAATTCTGCCTGAAGCGCAGGCAGCCAAGTTCTTCGAACTCGTGCGTTGCTCCATCTGCACCTCCGACGATGCCGCAACTCAGCAAAATGTCGTGTCCTGGGCTTCTGCAATTCGAATGTTGCTTGTTCTCTCTCAGGCACAAACGTTCACATAAAGTGTGCTGCAGACTGCGACTGCAACGCCGCATCACGGACGAACAAGCTAAGTCCCAGGGGCAGTGCAGCAGTGAGCGAAGGCAGGCTTGAGGCAGCTTGTTCCCTGATTTCAGGATCACTGCAGGGCATGCAGCTTGGGCACCAAGTGGATTCGGGATGATTCGGGTTGCAATATGACAGGAACTTTCCCCTGTGCCCAGCAAAGTATGTCCAACTGCAGCCATAACAACTTGCTGCTTTTTGGTGTCGAAGCTGATGTCAAGAATTTTTCTGGGGTGATATGTTTTTCACATGTGCCGATTGCTTGTCCTCACCTGCGCCTACAAGTGGGACGGCCGCTAGCTGGTGGTGCAGTGCGGTGTATCCTCGTTGAAGCGGGCCTTGTATCGGAGCCTGCTTGAATCCTTAGGAGGCTCGGCCTAGCAGTCTTGACTCGTCGTCCCGGATGGCGGCCCAATTCCCGACCCAAATGAATCAGACTATAGTGACCGGACTGGGAGCGAGAGCGAGGAATCAGTAAAAAATCCCATCCGACAGGTCAGCAGTTCAACCATGGCGCTGCCGGGCTGCCAGCGTGCAGGCCCGCTTGAAGGGAGGATCCCAACCTTAGAAAACAAGCAACCAATGCGTCAGCATATTCCTCCACATTTTGGTGTTAAGGTGGCGCTTCATACGGCAGCTGCCAACTTTGGACCTTCCGCCTTCCAAATGCCTTCAACAAACTAGCAGTTTCCTGGGCGGCTGCGGCTCATGCTTCACAGCTTGTCAACCCAAAGCACCGTCCAGTTAAAGTTGGCATGGGAGAGTCACAAGAACCCTTCATGCGGAGGGATGGTAACTGCAGTGACAAGTGCGACCAAGGGACAGTAGCTCCAGCCCTTCCGACTCCAACGACCTGCACCATTGCCGACGCAGAACCCTCCTACAAACTTTGTTTCCATGTTCTCCGCTCGGCTGTTAGCTTTTGAGAAGTCTATGTCCTCGCCCTCCGTGCAGTGCCCAACCGCAGAGTATCCCTGAGGTGCCCTGCAGAGCCCCAATCTCTGCCTGCACGCTGCAATGCCCAACCCCATAGCATGACCGTCAAAAATGCTCCCAAAAGCCACCCCGACCACGACGGTAGCGCTTGGAATGTACAGTTGTCATGTCTGCAGGCTGGCGCAACGTTTTGGGACTGCATTACGAAGCTGATGCATGCTCCATGTTGCTGCTGGGAGAAGTTGGTTTTGCCGGCAAACCACAGAGTGGTAAGGGCGAGGATGTTTGAAGAACCGTGCCAAGGATGAGGAGGGAGGCAAGGAACCCCAGCGCCAGATGGAATGGCCCAGCGCTAGCCGCAGCAACCTCCCTGCTTCAGAAATTGGTCATGGAGGTTGGTCAGTTGTCCTTCACAGGCTCCCTCGACCCAGCATCTGGCCTCTGCAGAAGGCTTGGATCCGAAGTGCTGAGGCAGTTAATCGAGGCAGGCTGTCCTGATCCTCAGCTCTGTCACACGCATGAAGCAAGAGAGAGAGGAGAGAGAGAGAGAGAGAGAGAGAGAGTCTGTGCAAGAAGCTCTGACCCTACTGCTGGACCCCAGATTCAAACGGAGTCGTAACTCCATCAAACGTTGTGGTCCAAGGATCAATTCCTCTAGCCTCTGCTTTCAATTGGCGAGACAGACGTCTGGCACGCAGAAAGCGTCCAAGGCGTTGCTGCAAGCGCTGCAGGAGACACTTTTCTCGTATCTTGCCCACTGTCTCACGCAGCTGGCGCAAGCGTGGCAAGATGATACCTCGAAACACGCGCTGCAGCTTGACGGCAGCCTTGATTTTTAACGCCTCCAGACAGAGTTTCCGCTTCTCCAGGGCACGGGACATTCCTCGACAGATCACCCTCGAGGCCTGTTTCTGTCGCAGTCTGAGGAGCTGCAGCTTCAGCAATGCTTCGTCCGGGAAGGTCTTTTCTGCGGCAGCATACCACTCGTCCCACACGTGCACCATTGTCCCGGATGGCATCCAGCAATCGTGGTGTGCCATGTTCAGCTTCTGTTGTAAGAGCATGTTCAAGTACGTGTCCTGCCCGGAGCTGTTGCTGGTCGGTGCAGGCGGCCTTGCGAGCCTCGCAGTCTCGGACTGAGCCGTAGCTGCTAGTCGCACCAGCCTGGCTGCAAGACTGTCACTCTCGCGCGGTGGGGGCGTCAAAGCTGAAAAGCTAGGTTGCAATTCCTCGTATCCTGCCAGCGTATCACACAGTAGCGCTTGGAGCAGCACACGGTGCCCATCGGGAAGATTGGAGAGGTCGGCAAGCAGAAAGTTCTCGCGCCAGGCACGCCACTCCTCTCGGATGGCCAGCTCTTGAAAGCTCCTCAGCTGCTTGCACCACGTCTGCATCACACCTGTACAACGCGCTAGGCACCCAGAGCTGAAGCCTGACTTTCAGTTCATAGTTGAGTTGAGCTACCGCATGTGATCGACTCCATTCTAGAATTAGAAGCCCCTCTCCCATGACGAAAGCCGAGTATCAATTCGCTCGATGCATGCAGAGGGTGGTTGGCAAAGTATACCTTGCGCCAGTCCTATGGAAATGCAGGGCTGCAATGAAGGGAGCTGAAACGACGCACTGAGTGGATTTTTAGGTTGATAACGCCCAAACATCATGGCTTCTGCAGCCTCAAATTTGCATGCTTCTGAAGCGTTGCTTCGTTTCCATCCTAGTCATCCCGGTCCTGCTGCCTCTCCAGCGCAAGGCTCCGGAGCTCCGCACAGACGGCATCCACAGAGTGTCCCATCCGCCACTCTCCACTGCGCGAGATGGATTGGCGCTAGGTATGCTGAGTGTGGTGCCAGAGAACTAGGCATCTGCGCTACAACTGCGAAGACGAGGTCTGCGGATCTTTAGCTACGTCTTTCTCTGGCTAGTTCTGCAGCTCGATCACTGGCACAGAAACATGCACAAACTGCAGCAGTGGAGGAATTCAATCCCTCTACATACCGCCTCTTGAATGGATGCATGTCGCCACACTCCAGGTACTGATGGGCTTACGTCAAGGCTGTTCCAACCACCAATCTTGGCTCTCACACAAAAAGCTGGGGGCAGAGAGAATCGATACTTGAATCAATTGTGACCAACTTCTGATGTATCTGCTCGACACGGCACACCTTGCCCAAACGACATCCCAGCACGCTTGGCAGTGTTTTTTCAGCTGAAGCGCGGATAAATCTAAGAAGTAGCGCAGAAACCTTCTGAACTAAGCTAGGTTCTGTGTTTGGAATACATCTCGAAACATGTAGTCCGTGAATCAAGCGAGTGATGTCAATCCTTGCGCCATGACTACTGTACTTACTCAGCACAAGCAATGAAGCTGCGATGCACTTGCAATGTCCATCCTATGGGAAGCTAGCTGCCCCAGGGAACCTGCATGTGCTGGCTCTTATTCAGACAAGCTTGCAAGCCTCTCATTCCCCCACCTTGGCAGCAAACTTGATTGCTGCAAAAGCAAACTTGATTGCACTTCATGGCTTCCGGTGTACATTATCAATCTCCAGGCTCCAGACAATGAACCAGGAGATGCTTCTGGGCTTCATGGAGCTGTGCAAATCCTGCAATCCGCGTGGTCTTAAAGTTTCAGCAACTACCTCACAGGGTTTAAGAAGGCGTCAGACGCCATCTGAAGACTGCAAGTGAATTAGGTCCCTGCTCAGTGCCAAGCCGCTGGTCTATGGCTTCAATCATGAGACTCAAAAGACCAAAACAAAACCAAGCAGACAGAAAACACCTAGGACCTAGACCTAGACTTATGAGGCACCAAGCGTGAATCCCTCCAATGCCTGAAATACTGCACAACCCACACGAGAGAGTGCGCGGGCCTTCGTTGATGTCAGGAACTCCACCTGGCCGCCCGTGGGTGTTAAGAGAGGAAAGTAGCCGTAGCTGGAACACCAGCTGTTCTAAGTTAGTACACTGCGCGCTTCAGCAACACCACCTTCTTGCAAATACAGGGGAAAGCAGGCTATTACAAACTTAGCTACAGCTACAAGCGAACTCCTGGATAAGGGAGAAATTTGAGGGAGCTGCATGGGAACAGCTTGAAAGCCCAGATTGTGGGCGTCAAGCAAGCGCCCCAATTTACGGTGGATTGAACAAATGCAAAGTGGGGCTGTATAGAACCCATACCTTTTCTTCATACCGAATTGGGGTCATCGTTTCTTCTTCTGATAAATTGTGGCTTTCTGGCCACATGCATGTAACATGGTGTCTTCGACAGTACAAGGAAGTTAACACAACTATAACCTACTATAATATACTATAATCAACTCTGATTTACTATTAATCGATAACAATCCATTATAATCTGATATAATTCAGTAGAACTTATTATAGTATACCATAAACTAGCGTAATCGGCTATAAACCACTATAATCTACTATCATCTACTACAATCTACCATAAGCTACTATAATCAAGCTACTAGAATCCACTGTAATCTACTATAAGCTTTATTCTCATCACTATATTCTACTATCATCTACAATCATAAGGGACGCATACACTTTGTTTTTTGTGGCCACGCACGCTGGGAGAACAACAGTTGTAAGGCAAGACGGAACACGCGTCATTGCTAGAATGGCAATTCATGAGGAGTTGAGGTCTCGGAGCGATGGAGAGTCAAAGACTCTGGAGGTGAAGACTTTGCGAACACGCTCCCTTCAAGTGATGCGAAAATAGGCCGGCATGTCACAGGTGGCTTGTCATGTCAACCAAAAAATCGTAGCTTCTCATGCGACCAAAGATCCTGACTTTTCAGGTGGGATTCCAGAGATCTTGATTTTCATACGAGGTTCCGAAGATCAGAGCGGCTCATGCGAGCCCCGAAGATCAATTTTTCCCATATGAAACGCGCAGGTTTTTGCTTCTTATAAGATTCCAAGAATCATAGCTTCTCATATGAACCCCCAGGATCCTGGCGTTTTTCCTATAAAAATGACTCAATGATTCCAAAGATCAGAGCAGTTCATGAAGCCCATATGAAACCCGAAGATCTTCGCCTTTCTCAGCTTCCAAAAACCTTAGCTTTTCATAGGATCCCCAGACTCCTAGCTTTTCATCTGAGATTCCAAGGCTCGGCGAGAACTGGTCCAGGATTGCTCAGCCCAAAACGATTACAAAACAATGACCAAAACGATAGCGCTTGTTTCACAAGGATTGGTCTGTGAGTCGGGGTCCATTTGGCAGGTCTTAGACACGTCCATTCCTGTCAAAAATCTGCAATGGGTGCTGAATGCTGAAGGCTGCATGAGAGGATGCTGAAATCTCAGCATTGGTGACAATGCTGAAGATGGCCAGTCTGGGAACATCTTCTTTGCCCACGCCACCACCAATGCTGAGAACCGCTGTGATCTTTGGAATTGCATATGAAAATCGAGGATCTTTGGTTATATAGCAGATTACAGTACATTATAGTAGATTGTAATAGGTTATGGCAGGTTATAATAGGTTATAGCAGATTATAATAGATTAGGAGTAGAAGCTTTCCATGAAGCTTCAAGATCCATGTCATCTTGTTTACTTCTTGCCTTTTTAGGGCTCCCGGCACCATTCCGTGAACGAAGATTGAGGCAAGAGTAAAATGTGAGAGGGGGGGTTAATATACAACACCTGCTGGTGGTGTGGTGGTGGTGGTGGTGGTGGTGGTGGTGGTGATGGTGGTGGTGATGGTGGTGGTGGTGGTGGTGGTGGTGGTGGTGGTGCCCCTGCTGCCCCTGGTGCTGCTGGTGTTGCTGCTCCTCCTCCCA